GAAGTGTTAGATGAAGGAGAACTTGTCGAGTTCTCGCTAGACTAGACGAGTGGAGTCGGGGTTGTTTTGGGATTTAAGGAGCATGGACTCGGCGAGTTGGTAGAACAACTCGACGAGTCGAGTCAACTGGAAGGTTGACTTTGACCAGGACTTTGACCTCGAGAAGGACTTTGACCAGAGTTGACTTAGTTGACTTCATGAGGACAGTTAGGCTAAGTGTTACTATTATTTGGTATTGGTAGCTCGGGGAGCTAGAGCAGCAGCAGTTCGGAGAGTTGTTGGATAGCAGCCAGAGGGTTATCAGCAGTTTCAGCAGTACGAGGTGAGTCTCCTCACTGTGTGCATGGGTCTACGGCCACAATGCCGGCCCATTATGTTTATGCTTATGGTTATGTGTAGTAGGAAGACCCAGGGGTTAGCCCTAGGCACTTATTGTGATTTGTTCGGGTTTAGATCCGTTACCGGGGTTAGCCCGATGCAGTTTATATGTTCCGGACTTCGGTCCGATGACGGGTGGGACCCGAGGCAGTAGTGGATGTGTAGCTATACTTGTTGTCTTTGTGATACTTGTATGTGCCTGGTAGGGAGGTGAGTCGGGCGAGGTCCTGTATCTCATCACTAGCCGAGTATGGACGCAGTTCCGTATCTCATTAGTAGCAGAGCAGGGGTGAGGCCCGAGTTAGGAGGGAGGTGAGTGTGGGCGGGGGCCCGTATCTCACTATCAGCAGGAGCGTGGATGGGGTTTCATGGCTCACCAGTAGCAGGACAGGGGTGGGGCCCAAGATAGGCGAGGCCTTACATCAGTAGTACAGTAGAGTATGTTTAGCTTTATGATATGTGTTATGTTATATGCTTGTATTTGTTAGTAGCGGGCGAGGCCCAGAGACAGGCGGGGACTAAGAGAACAAATATGTAGACCAAGTGGGGCTCGATGCTACGCGGGGCCTAATGTCGGGCAGGGCCCGATGCAGTGGGCGGGGCCCAAGTTAGTCTGCACTACGGTCCAATGCCGGGCAGGGCCCGATGCAGTGGGCGAGGCCCAGTATGTGGTATGTGGTAGGTTGGGGAACTCACTAAGCTGCGTGCTTACGGTTTTCAGTTTTGGTTTCAGGTACTTCTGGTAGCGGAGGGAAGAGCTCGGGGTGATCGCATGGCACACACACAGAGCAAAGATGTTTAGCCTGGGATGTTTACTCTGATAAAATGAACAAGTGTTTTGAAAAGATACTCTGATTTATTATATAACCGTTTTTGTATGTTGAAATGATTTGATACTATGATTTAGTAATGTTTTAAAAAGAAATTTTTGGTCAAGATTTTTGGGATGTTACATGATATGTCGCCGCTATTGGTGTCGTTACAAATGGCTGTATTTCCTTGTAGTGAAAATGGACAAACATATAGTTCGTTGGTCATTTTTTAATTTTTTCCAAAAAAATATTATTGTTTTGGCTTCATGTCTAACTACCTCATATCCTATCTATATGCAAGAGTAACAAAAGTAGCAACCTTTCAAAGCTAAGTTATTCATCGTATATAAAGCCGCTTATAAATAGTAAAATATCAACTAAAATTTATTCGTCGAAAAGAAACTACTTGCCAAAGAGAACTATTAGTCGCTGCCGCTTAGCGTGGGTCGACACCTAGTGTCTATATATATATATATATATATATATATATATATATATATATATATATATATATATCTATATATATATATATAGATATATATATATATATATATATATATATATATATATATATATATATATATATATATAGGAGGGTTCAATTGAGAAAAAAAAAAGGTTGAGAATTGGGGAATCATTCTCAGCCACTCATTTATTTTTGCCGCAAAAACCTCCGTCGTACCATCGGAAATGGGAAAGGAATAGGCACGTATTTTCCAACAAAACATGTTTCCTTAAACTATGCTAATCATTACCTTAATTATACAAAAAGATAGTTTTTTCAATTTTTTTTAATTTTTAAGAATTTATTTTTATCGAAAAATAATTTTAAATATATCAAAATTCATGATTTTTTATTCTCTACAAATAGACATCCATATTGATATAGTTTTAAGGTAAAATAAATTTTTTTTTTATTTTCAGCTATCGTTATTCATAAGTGAATAAAAATGCATCAAGTTTTTATTACAGTACATTCGTTATTCACTTATGAATAAAAAGTATGATTAATTTTTTTTACAATTTAAGTATCATTCATATATGAATATAACATATAATAAACATAGTATATTCATATTTAAATATTAGACGATGCATTCACTTGTGAATATTAACATAATATATTCACTTGTGAATATTAGATGGTATATTCAGTTATGAATATTAAATGATATTTTCATATGTGAATATTACATAGTATTACATGGTATATCACATGTGAATATTACATAGTATATTCACTTGTGAAAATTAGATGATATATTCACTTATGAATATTACACAGTATATTCACATATGAATATTAGAAGGTATTTTCACAAATATATATAATTTTTATATGTTATTCACATATGAATAACATACAAACTTGCATATTTGTTTTGTGTTTTTAATAATCATATACTGATTCAGGTGAGAAAACATATTCATATGTGAATATAACGTGGTAATTTAGTTTATGCATTTCATCAAACAGTTGGAGTGCATACAAGTTAACTATTTTAAAAATGTTAAAAACATGATTCTTCCTATTCAAGTTATCAATTCCAAATCATCATATACTTCTGATTTCGACTTCAGATGCGACATCCTATGTCTGATCGATTTCTCATTTTGATTTTGATTTCCGAAAATCCGATTGGGAACCTGTGAGTACCGATTCCGAGTCCTTCAATGTCGACTGTGACTGCGAGTCCAGAACTCCGATTCCAATTTCATGAACAGCGAAGAAATTCTGATTCCAACTGAGTTCGTTTGCGAATCTGGGTAATTCCAGTTCCAAATTTGTTATGAAGTTTAACAAATGCTTGCAAGCTACGAACATTCGGAGTATTCAACAAAGAAATCGATGAATTTGGGTTGTGAATCTGTCTTGAACGGCGAACCTCCCAGCCACGAATATCGATGATTGATTAACACTGGATGACATTGATGATGGTTTAATTGTAGAAATCTGGATGACTGTTGAAGGTTGGAGGAGAAATTTTGATGATGAACGAACTGTTATCGAATTCTCTATAGTTACGTATTTGAGATTGAAGGTTATTAATATATTTACAAGTTTGTCACCGTATCTTTTTATGCTTAAATTAAATGAGTGGCTGAGAATGTTTTCCCATTCTCAACCTTTTTTTCTTTTCTCAATTGAACTTACATATATATATATCTCTCTCTCTCTCTCTCTCTATATATATATATATATATATATATATATATATATATATATAACTTTATAACAATATTATATTAATAAAAATATAAATAATTAAATAAATACTATCAATTAATAAAAATACTAGAATAATAAATACAATATATTAAAACAAATAACAACCTATATAATACATAATAATATATAGATAATAAAGACAACAATGGACATGATAAAATAATAATAAAAATGAAAAGGAAAAACCATAATAACGTTTTTGTCATTTGCAATTGATATAATAGGAATAGTTTCTTTGTGATTAAGTGTATATTTGTATATTTGACAACGATTTTCTTTTGTTTTGAATTTTTTATTTTTAAAAAAGCTTTGATAAAAAAATATATTTGACTGAGCTTATTGTTATGTTTAACAAAATTAATAGGAAGCTGGAAGTTAAAATTTGAAAGACACAGGATAAAAAATGATAGCTAGAATCTATAACCTTTTTTTTATAAAATCATATATGTTTTAAAGGGTTCAAAATAATATAAAATAAAAACGCTTAAAATAAAATCATAAAGCTACTTGAGGAGACTTTGGAATAAAAAATTTTAAGCTTGTATTTGTGAAGGATCTTTTTCTTTAATCTAAAGTATTTTTCATCTTAAAAATCTAAAAAACAGCACCTATATATATTATTTTAAATGTTTTGTCATATTAGGTGGTGTTTTGGTGTCAAAGTACAGTGTGTACTTGCTTGTTTCTTTCTCCCGGTCTTTTTTCTATTTTGTAATGATAAGTCAAATATTTTTTCTATTTTTTTTGCTTTTATTTTCGGATAAATTTAAGATTTTGATACTCTTTATATTTAACAAAATTAATTTTTTTTTATTAAATTTATCATCATCTAAAAAATGAAAGCAGAATGAATAACAAAAATAAATATAAAAATATTTAATTTCTTTTTTGCAATATAAAGATATTAAAAAAAACCTATATAACTTTTAGAACTAATAACTTAGAGCTCACATAATTTTGTCAAACATATCATAAATGCTAAGCTAAGTTTGTTAAGGTACATATTTTTATTAATAATAGCTTTTACTAAGTCTAAAATCGTAAGGTTGGATGTCTCAAAAAATCCAAATATAATGAACTAGTCTTTTGGGGAAATATATCAAGATGTTCTTGGCATAATATTAAATTAACATGATACGATATAAGATGAACTTTCATCTTTTGTAAAAGATATTAAATAGATAAATTCAACAATTCAAATATTTGTTTGTATACTTCAGCTACGTGGATGACTGATGTGCTCTCCTGAGCAATAATTAACAAAAATCCAGCTAACTTCCTCTATACGAATATATTTCTTATTTCGTTATAAGAAACGAAAACGAGGAAACGTATGAACAATAATAAAATAGAAAACCAATCAAATAAGTTTCTAATCATTAATCAATACCAAACGCTACCGCATTTTTGGTGAAGTAAATTATGTCAGCATGTGAAAATATGAAAAACGTTTGTTTGTGATTATATCTTATTAAATTGTAAGATGATAACGTGTTCACACGTAGGATCTGACTGTGATCGATCACTATCCACAGTGGACAGCTCTCATCTTTCTTCTATAAATCATTGAGCTTTTTCATCAAGTTAACGATATATCGATCAGGGTAACTACTACTTACTATTAATCCCAGTATCAAAACCATTTTTGCTTTTTGGTTCAAAGTCAAAATTAATGGCGACGCATATTGTTAATGGCGGAAAGGAGATTATAGAGGAGGAAGAGAAGGCATTAATCGCTTCATCATCTTCATTGAAGCAGATGCCTTTCTTATCACTCAATCACGTCTCCTTTATCTGCAAATCTGTTCGTAGATCCGTCAAGTTTTACAGCGATGTTCTGGGATTCGTTCTTATCAGACGTCCTTCCTCCTTCGACTTCGAAGGCGCTTGGTGAGTGTCTCTTCTCTTCCATTTCTAATACATTTAAGTGGATTAATTGCTATGAGCCCACGACAATTCATACATAGTCAGAATCTACTAATTAGAACATGCCATTCATGCTAAATGTTCTATAAAAATCCTAGAATGCTAAAATATTTTTGATGATAAAGGTTGTTCAGCAATGGGATTGGAATACATTTGTTAGAAGTTGAGAGGACTCCAACAAAAACAGGAGCTATCAATCCAAAAGACAACCATATTTCGTTTCAGTGTACAGATATGGATCTCATAATCAAGAAACTTGAACGATTGGGTATCAAGTATGTGACAGCGGTGGTGAAAGAAGGTGGTGTAGAGGTGAACCAGTTATTCTTCCATGATCCAGATGGTTACATGATTGAGATCTGCAACTGCCATGTTCTTCCTGTGCTTCCGATCACCTCATTCCCCCTCAAAAAGCTCCCAGCAGCTCCACAGATCGACAATGGCGGATCCTCCTTCTATGGTACTTTCAAATTTCTCACCATAAACACTTCTTTACTATTTGATATATAATTTGTTTATACAAGAAAACCTAGTTTGTATATAACATTTTGATATCCGCAAATTGTTGAAAATGCAGAGAATATGAGCTCCGAGAATTACTATTGTGGAGAAGATGAAGTGTTGATGATGGACAATTTTTTGGTAGACATGATGGGTATCTCCTTTTAAGATCATACAAAAGAAAATTAAATAGAGTGAGCTGGATTCAGGAAGATTTTTTTGTATCATTTGCTATATTTTTCATTAAAAGGAGAGTTATTAATCTGTGTACGTAATTGTATAAAAGTAGTGGAAGAAGAAACAAAACCCCTTTGTGAAAATTCCCTTTGTTTTCTTCGAATCCAATATGTAATATGTTAATGTAATTGTTGATTCTTTAATACAAATAAAATTAAGCTCCAATACTATTGAGCTTTATTTAGTAAGCTATTTAAGTCATCACCACTATCGAAATGCTATGTTTTTTTTTTTTTTTTTTTTTTTTTTTTTTTTTTTTTTTTTTGTTGTTTGTTGTTTGTTTGTGTGGAATGTGTTATATATTTTAGACAAAACTTAAAAAACGGTTACTATGGTTTTCGGAAATCTGAAGTTTAGTCTTTAATTTTAAAAAACGTTACAGATGATCCCTATGGTTTCAAAACGTTTAACAAATGGTCATTCTCGCTAACTCCGTCAGTTTTTGGCCGTTAAGTGAAGGTATTTCTGTCATTTCACTACCAGAAGACCATTTATGAAGTCTCTCTCTCTCTCTCTCTCTCTCTCTCTCTCTCTCTCTCTCTCTCTCCTAATTGGAAAATTGTGAAAAATTGACCCGTACATCCACCCGACCCGTTTACCCCATTCCATTTTATCTTCATAGAAACAGGTCACGACCTTAATTGCTTCTCCAATGGCTGCTCGATCAATAGGTTTGCGTTCGACTGCAAGAGACCCTGAAGGTCTACCATGGCTGCCTTTTCCTCGTAATTCATGAATCAATCTTCCTTCAAATTCAAAAACAACAATCGAGTCGATCAAATAGGTGGAATCTCCGAAGCGTTCTGGAATCAAGGCTTGTTTCAGTTCATCATCTTCTTCGTTGTTGTTCCGATAATGTACAATAGGCAAGATCATCACAGCATCGCCATCAGATTTTTTCTTCTTCATTCTTCTCAATGAAAACTTGATCTTCTTCCCACCGAACCATCCATGATGTTCAGTGGCACGAGGTGGGCTAAAACCGTAAAGCGCAATTCGCCGGAAAATACAACCAGATGCTCGAAACAGGCGACCTTATCAACCAGATAATCAACTGCTAAAATTGAAAGGATGGTGTTTGTATTGACGAGAGGTGGTTCTTTCTCTACATCTGCAGTTGAAACGAAGATATCAATCCCAGGTAGATCGGAGAGTCCTTTAGGGTTGTTCTTGGTGGGTTTGAATCTTTCTTTGAGCACATAGAGATCTTTGGATCTGGTAACTGGGCAGAGCTTCAGAAGTTAGTCAAGAAGCCATGAGAGAACTATGGATCTAAACCTATAAATTGTTGAGGTATTTTGATAGATTCAGATTCCCCTAATTTGTTCTTGACCTTCAAATATCGGTCCGGTCCCCCATGGTGATTTTTCTTGATTTTCAATGATTTATGTAACTTTTTTTTTTATCTCCTGCAGTGTCGATTTGGGGAAATTGATCATTGACTTTCTCATTTGTTCTTCTGCTTCGCTTTAGTAATGTTTACTTCAGTAATCCCTCCATCGATACCCTCATATCGATCATACCATGGAGCATGAACAATCACAAACAGCCATGGTGTTTTACTCTAGTTAACCTTCTTTACACTAGACTCTAACCATCGAATTGGTCAGATCCATATCCAAAATCGGTATAGGAACCCAACATGACGACGTGGACGCCTGAAACCTCAAACGAGGCATAACTTAGACATAGATTCGCTCTCATAAAACGGCATATGCCACCTAGAATTGTAGGCGGTGAACATAGTAGGGTGGATGGTCGTAATTCTCACAAATCTCCAGGAAGCAAAAACACATAGTAATTTGATTGTGAGATGTGTTCGAGTGTTGATTTCGTCCATACAGTTTGTCCTAGATCACCTGCACGCGTTTAAACTTTAAACAATAAATTCCCACTTCTTCAGATCATATACTAACAAAATAATGTTGGAAATTTGTAACCTGGAACAACAAATTTGATTGGAAATTGAGTAGGAGGAGTCTGGAAAGAGTATTCAGGGGTTGAACCCGGGGCGATAGAGAGAGAGATAAAGAGAGAGAGAGAGAGAGAGAGAGAGAGAGAGAGATAGATAGAGAGAGAGAGAGAGGGACCTTTAATAATAAATAACTATGTAAAATTTTTTTTAAATAAGGCAAAACTTCATAAATGGTCCCTCTACTAGTGAAATGACAGAAATGCCCTTCATTTAACGGCCAAAAACTAATGGAGTTAGCGAGAAGGACCATTTGTTAAAATTTTTGAAACCACAGGGACCGTCTGTGAGGTTTTTTGAAATTAGGGACTAAACTTCAGATTTTTGAAAACCACAGGGACCATTTTGAAGTTTTGTTTATATTTTATTAACTAGGTTATAGCATCTGTACTATACAGTTGACAACTTAAAATAACATAAATAATTCATAATAATAAGTTACTTGTTATAAAAGGATAAATAACAAAACTCAAATTTATGTAGATAAATAAATATTAATTAAGAACCTATAATGGAAGTAACATGATGTTTTTTTTCATAAAAATGAATGTATTATCATATTTTGTTTCAAAATTTAAACTAACATACTATTTTATGCTTAAATTTAAAGTAGCATATTATAGTTGGGTTAAAAATAAAAATATGATCATATTTTCGCTTAAATATAAAAGTAACATGCTAATGTTGGTTTAAAAATAAAAAATAGTATGTTATTTTTGTCGTAAAATGAAAGTGACATTCATATTTTGCCATAAAAATGAAAGTATCATGCTAATTTCGCTTAAAAATAATAATATAATGCTATGTTTCACTACAAGAATTTCGACCTACGACCACACTTTTTAAAATTAGCTTTACTGTAACATCCCAATGATGAGGTATTTTCAACTTCAACCCTAAGTATGTAAGAATATTACATTTTTGACCCTTGGGCTTGGAAATGATTGCAAGAATGGCCCATAGTGGCATTTTGGTGATTTTAGGCAAAGGGGTAGTACGTTGGGCGTACGTGTGTACGGTAGGCGTATTGGGGTGGACCCTAATACGCTGTCCGTACACCGCATACGCTGGGCGTACGTGAGAAATCATCAAACCCTAATTTTTAAGGTTTGGTCCATATATAAGCATCATTATCTCTCATTTCTCATTTCCTCACCAGCCTCCATCTGAGAGAAACGACTCCAAGCAAACCCTAAGTGAGTATAGTGCATATTGAGTTATCTTTGTGTCCTTGTGATATTCTTGAAGGAGAAGACGGTGGTGAGAAGAACTTGGAGATTGGAAGCAACTTGGATCTGAGATTATCTCCTTCTATCAACCTCCAGGAGGTAAAAGGTTCATAACTTGATCACCCTATTTTGTAGATCTAACCATTTCTTCACTTAGAACACTTTTGGTCCCAAATATGGTGATTCTTGAGCATAGCATGATCTTAACCACATAAGTCATCCTTTCAGACCTTATGAGGGGTCTTGAGTCATAAAAATGTGGTCTTGATGCTTAACTTTCCTCCGTGCATTCTGTAGAAGGTCTTAAGGCATTAAGATGTTAAGATTTTGTGTATTAAGCACTTAATGGACATGCAAAGTCATAAAGTTGGAAACTTTATGACTCTTAGTGGTATTTTATCCTTGAATCTGTAGTTGGACGTATTAAGTCGAAGGATTAAGTTGTTAATCGGTTAAGAAGAGAACTTTTGCGTACGTTGGACGTACCAAATGGTATGGTGCGCGTATGCAGATTTGGTGTCGACGTCTCGGACAGCTAGTACGCCCCATGTACATCCGAAGTACGCCCCGTGTAGGAGCCCTGAGTTGTCCCGGCTGGGTTGACTCAGTTGACTTGTTTATTTTGACCAGTTTTGACCAAGGTTATTTTGGGGAAATATTATTAATTAAGAATGGGAAATGTTTTGAAATTTAGGATTTGGGTTAAGCCGGTTGTTGGAGTTGGGAGTTATTCAGACTGCGTTCAGACTGTGAGGTGAGTTTTCCTCACTGTACTTACGGGTCGAAGGCACCAAGGACGGCCCGTTGGATTCATATCCTAGTTACCATATGTTGCTATGTTGTAGTGATCTGTTAGATCTTTATCCTAGTATATAGGATGTTGTTATGTTGGTTATATGATAGATTGGTAGATCTGTATGATTACATGTACATGCTGGTTATGTGTTTATGTTTATTTGTTGCATATTTCGACATGTTGGTTTGGGTTGAGGCGGTCATGCTTTGTGATGTAGGCCAAGACACCCGGGGACGACCAGATAGGCTGTAGGCCCTGCGAGGCGGTTTGGATAGGCTGTAGGCCCTACAAGGTGGTCCAGTCAGGTCAACTGCTCGTGGAGTGGTCCAGATGGGCTGTAAGCCCTATGAGGCGGTTCATTCAGGCTGGCTGCTCATGTTTGCATGCTTGCTTGTTTTGTGGTGTGTTGGTGCTTTCGGGGAACTCACTAAGCTTTGGCTTACAGTTTAGTTCGTGGTTTCAGGTACTTCTGAGGATCGTGGAAAGGAGAAGGCGTGATCGTACACAAGTTCCAATTTTTATGTCTGCAGATCTTGGGAAAACTTTGATTTGAAATACTAGTTTTGAAACAAGGATTTGTTTGTAAACAATTTTTAATGCATGGTTGGTTTTAAAAATTTTAAATTTATTGTGATTTTTGGAAGTGCTACAAGTTTGTATCAGAGTCTTGGTTTGAGAGAACTGGATGAACCTTCGTGTGAATCCAGACTTAAAATAGGAAACTGCAAAAGATTTTAACTGGTTTTTAAAATTGTTTTCAAAAGTAACCAAGGAAGGATGCGATGTGTACGATTAGCCAGAGCAAGAAAGTATACCCCAAGTTACCTACGCTATTATTTGATACTATGTTTATGGTAGAACAACATGCTAGTGGTAGGCTAGGGATAATCAGGAATTGCATGATAGATTTTTCTGATATATGATGAGTGATAGCCTAGGGTATTTCTGTATGAAATTGACATCATTACTGTAGTTGCTTAGTGTATGCATCATAGTTGTACATAACTAAGATCTTATAGCCTGACAATGTTTGGTTTGGGCTTATTTCTTGTTCCTTGTTTGGTTGTGGACTTAGGG